ATTTTCTTACTTTTCTATAAAGCAGCTTTATTCCTGATTTCAGGCTACTAATCATAGTTGATCCCAACAGTTTTGAGTCATTTCTTCTCTCAGAAAGATATTTAGTTTTAAAATTAAGTAAAATAAAAAAGAAAGCACTTTTAAGAAGGATTGATACTCACTTCAGTTAAACTAACTTTAAATTTTTAATTTCCTAAACTAATGGCTTAGAATAACACTAAAGTGAATGTACTGAATGGATCCAAATATTAAAATGTATTATAAAAATAGTGGATAAATATTTTTAAACGTAAGAAAATAATTATGGTAAGAATTTCTTGCATTTATCAATTCACAATTTATAAAACATTTTCACCTACCTGATCTCATATATAATAATTATTACTATCATTATAGAAAAGTTGCCATTCACTAAGTGCAATCTTTACGAGACACTTTATATACTATTACTCATCCTCACAATTCCATAAGGTTGCTATTGTTATTTCTACCTCACAAACAAGAAAACTGAAGCTCAACGAGGCTAATATATTTGCCTCCAATTGCGCAAATAGAGGGTGAGTACGTGAGGAAAGCTGTGTGTAGAAGGCATTTTCTTTTTGGTATTTTATTCTTACCAACATATGACAACATTCAATGTGTTTTTAATCTCAAGGTTCCTGATTGTGATGGAAAAAACTCTTGTGCTGGAGACACAAAACATAAGATCAAATATCAACACTGCCACCCTGACATGGGACTTCCGGCAAGTGACAAAATATTTCAACTTCAATCTCCTCATTTGTGACATGAAGAACATTATATTCAGTCCAGATGTTGTCATGGGAATTATGTCAAATACTAGAAGGATTAAATGGTAGTAAAGGAAGCCAAGAAAGTAATGGCAGGCTGAGGTTCCTGATCTTTCAATAATAATAAGAAAAAAAAAAACAGACCTGCAATTTATCACTGATAAAAATGACTTGGTTCACACAATAAGTTTAGCTTCCAGTTACGTTAAAACAAAATAAATAAAATACATTTAATCACTTTTTAAAAAAACAAATATATATATATATATATATATATATATATTTTTTTTTTTTTTTAATTAAAAACGTAAACCTGGGCCAGGCATGGTGGCTCATGCCTGTAATCCTCCTACTTTGAAAGGTTGAGACAAGAAGATTGATGGAGTCCAGGAGTTCAAGACCAGCCTGGGCAACATAGCAAGACTTTGTCTCTACTAAAAGTAAAAAAAAAAAAAAAAAAGTAGCTAGATATAGTGGCATGTACCTGTAGTCTCAGCTACTCAGGAGGCTGAGGCAGGAAGATTGCTAGAGCCCCGGATGTGGATGCTGCAGTGATCATCCCACTGCACTCCAGCCTGGGTGATAAAGCAAGACCTTGTCTTTAATTATTTTTTTAAATAAAAAAAATAAGTGCACAGGTACATTTGGTTGCTTTCTCATTAAGCTTTAAAGTTTCTTTCTTTGCATATTCACCTTCATACTTAAGTTAGAGAAAAATAATTTTGGGGTGATGTTTCTCCCCAGAACATTGCGTGTACCAGTTCTTCCTTTGCATCTAGGTTTTCTCACACAGCAATCAGTGATTTCATTTACTGCATTTCTCGCAGCCTTTGGTCCAACCAGTCACTTGAGTCTGAACTCAGCTAGTGTTCAGTGTCAGGCCATGAAACAGAGAGTGATAAGGACCTGGAGTAAAAGCTGGGCTGAGATTACCAGAAGGGGAGGGCAGAGCAGGGGCATGGTCCTGACACAGGCTGCAGTCAGTGGCTGTGACATAAGACCTGTGATTTGACCACAGGTCAAAGGCAAGGTCACAATCTACGCTGGAAGATTTGGACTAAGGTCCAGAGAGCTGAGTTGCTCTGGATGGCACAGGACAGAATGGAAAGCAGGCATACAGGTATAGGTTGGACATTCAAGCTAACCTAAATCTAGCTTCCAGAAAAGACAGGTTCATATATGTGGATTCCAGGACATAACTAAGGTATGCCTCCTCAGTTTTAAAACTGTGCTCACAAAACTTGTTTTTTCTCTTTATATCAAACACAAAAGGTGTCCTGGAGAGCTCTTCATAAGGACAATGAGATTGTTCCTGCCTCCTCACTACCACACACTCCCTTCAATCAGAAGCTTGTCAGCTACCTTGAAAGATCTCTCGTCTCTGTTGTCTCGGTGACTTCCACTGGTGACTCCAGCTTGAATCTGCTCTCAGTCATGTAATAGTTGTCCTTGTTCTATAAGCTATTTGCTTTCCTTTACTTCGTATATGTGTGAGGAAACATATTTTTTAAAGAGCTCTAAAAACAGATCATCCAACAAGATTTTGTCTTAGCACTTTTTCTGGAAGCAAGAATGGATGTCTCCGCTAAAAGTGGTACTCTGGAAAAACTGAATCTCCTTTCATTCAACTTTGCTTTCAAAGAAAGCTGTCACCTTTGCCTCTCTCTAGATACATTTTTCCTTATATTAAAAAAAGAAAAGAAAAGAAAAGAAAAAGAAAACTGGACCAGGCACAGTAGCTCCTGCCTATAATCCCAGCACTTTGGGAAGCCAGGGTGGGTGGATCACTTGAGGTCAGGAGTTCGAGACCAGCCTGGCCAACATGGTGAAACCCAGTCCCTACTGAAAATGCAAAAAAAATAAAAATAATTAGTCGGCATGGGCCTGTAATCCCAGCTACTCTGGGAGGATCTCTTGAATCTGGGAGGCAGAGGTTGCAGTGAGCTGAGATCCACGTCACAGCACTCCGGCCTGGAAAACAAGCTGGAGTTTTTTCTTTTCACGAAAAAAAGGGGGAAAAAAGTATGTATTACTTTTCTCTTCCTCTCAGGATAGTCATTAGAATCTACGTAGTGAGAAGACATTGAGTAGAACAAAAATCCATGTATTTATTTACAAGGTATTTATATTACTATTTTTCCTTTATCCAGTAGCAGCCCTCTCTGTATACAAGGAAATGTACTTTTCGTAACAATAAGAAATAACCTAAATGTCCACTGATTGAAGAATGGCTAAATAAACAATGGCAATCCATAAAAACAGAACGTTGCAAAGCAAAAACAAAAACAAAAAAAAACAACCAAAAAAAACCATATATATATATACATACTCTTTGGAATATGGCCAAATTCCAAGATAATGTGTTAAGGGGAAAAAGTAAAACTGAACATTGTAAAGCAAAAAGAAAAAAAAAATTTACTCTTTGTGTAGTAATAGGGCCAAATTCCAAGATAATGTATATAGAGGGAAAAGTAAGGGACAAAAAAAGCATACACAGTATGTATTATTTGTATTTTTTTCAAAAGAGCAAAATAATACATGCAGTTATACCCATGTATAAGTATCAAATATATTTTTAAATGTATGAAATACATTGAGAACTTTGGTTTTCTCTGGGTCAGAAAATAGGAGAAAACTTTTTATTTTGTATACTTTTATGCCTTTGAATTTGAAGGTACATGAACATAGTACCCGTTCAACAAAATTAAGATCATAAATAAAAATATCCCTGGGTGATTTTTCACCATGTGTGAGAAATTCAAGATGCAAATGCTACCCAAGTGATCTGAGCTGCAAGACTACAGCTTCAGGTTAGTTACTAGTGTGGCACAAGATTAATGGCCCCTGTTCTTCTTGCTTTCACTTTTCTCCTGCTGAGCCAGATATTTCTCCTCAGATTTTTGACCACTGGAAAGCACACAGTGCCATTTGTTTCTGGCTCAAAGCAGCCTGTACTCTCCCCTCTGGGGCTTGGGACCCTCGGCAGTATTCTTCCGAGGCCTAAGCTCTGGTTTAAGCAGTTACTTGAACCTGAACTCAACTAGTGTTCAGTCTCAGGCCATGGAACAGGCTGGGATAAGAGGGTCCTGGATTAGAAGCTAGCCTGAGTTTGTGACCAGTCTGCCCAGCATGGCAAAACCCCATCTCTACTAAAAATACAAAAATTGGCCAGGCATGGTGGTACACACCTAGAGTCCAAGCTACTTGGAGGCTGAGGCATGAGAATTGCTTGAACCTGGGAGGCGGAGGTTGAAGTGGGCCAAGATCATGCCACTGCACTGCAGCCTGGGTGGCAGAGTGAGACTATGTCTCAGGAAAAAAAAAAAAAAAAAAAAAAAATGGAACTGGGGGCTGAGCTGGCAGGAAGTGTACGGGCCAAGCACATGCATGCATCCTGACACAGGCAGCAGTCAGTAACTGTGATAGAAGACCAACCACAGGTGAACGGTAAGGTCACAGTCTAGATTGGAAGACTGGGGCTAAGGTCCAGAGAGCTGAGTTGCTCCAGATGGCACAGAACAAAATGGAAACCAGGCACAAAGGTACAGGTTGCACATTCAAGCTAACCTAAATCTAGCTTCCAGAAAAGACAGGTTCATACATGTGTATTCCCGGATGTAACTGAGGGATGCCCCCTCACATGGTTTTAAGTACTTTTCCTACTGAGAACATGGAGAGAGGGAAGCAGGATTCTGCAAGGCCAAACGTGATTCTCTCCCCTCCCATGCTCAGTGCTGTCTAGTCCCAATTTTATACCCTAAGAAGCCATGGATCACTGAATTCAAAACATACTATTTCTCCATCCATAAACTAGGTAGAAGGAGGGTTGGGTTGAATTCTTTTGGTGCAGACCTGATGTTTAAGGAGACAGGTTGGTGACATTAATGGTAATGTGTAACTATGAGTTACAAAATCAATCCATAGCTAATTTCAACAACTAGAAGTTATGGTGCTTGTGACAGTGCTCAACTGCCATGGTACCATTTGTTTTTCCTTGTTCATATTATGATGAGGGGATAAAGCTGTGCTCAAATTAGCTTCATCTAGATAGTGCAGTTCAAGTCTTCCATCAGTAGCTGCATTTTAATCCTACTGAGATTAATAACAATACTAAAAATCTTTATGGTATGCCACTGAATCATCGATCTTTGCATTAGTTCAACAGCAGCCTTACAAGTAACAAGGAATAAATCCTGTGCTTGCCTCTAGGTTTTCTGCAGAGGTAGTGAAAAGCACTGGATTTTCAAGCTCACTTTGGAAGAGGCAAGTAGGAAGGAGACTGAAAGCTGATCGTAAATCAGTAAATCAGTTGCTTTAGGCAGGACACCTGTCCTGTCAGTCTCAGCTACATCCAAATGGAAAAATGGGTGATCTAGGATTACCCTCAGTCAATGCCAATGGCCAAGGCACTAAAAGGTCACATCTAATATGGCTGGCATTTCTCTCCCCACTGGGCTGTTTTTTGAGTGGATGTCATATTCATCTCATACACACGGCATGTCCATCATGCTAGAGCAGTGCTGTCAATATTGGATCTAATAAAAGACACCCCATTTTTCTTTCCTGCAAACTTCATTATACCAAGCTGCTGCTACAAGATGATTCCTTTTCTTCTTGCCACTCCAACATTAGATTTTAGGAATGTGACTCTTTAAGCAAAGTTGTATTTGCCACCTCAGATTTTAAAGTTAAAATCAGTCTTTTAAGAACATTATATTAACCAAAATAAACGACACAGTGAGTGCTATACCCAGAAGTGGCTGCATAAAGCCACTACATAAACAGTCAATGCTCCATTGGAAGAAGCCACTGGCCTTTACTAATAATATCATGTTCACCAGCAAACAATTTGGCACTCTGTGTAGTATCAGAAGTTGGGGGAGGACTAGAAATACAATCTTAGCACACAAAAATAAATGTGAATAAAAAAGTGTAGCAACAGCTGTTGCCAGCTGCAAGCAACCATGCAGTAAAATCTTGTCCAACTCTGCAGGGGACTGTATGAGGACTCCTGTAGCCTGAGACAGGAGCAACAAAGGCCGCATTGTAAGAACATCAAACGTGAACCCTGGCTAGCAAGCACCCCTAGGAACTACCAACAGGAGGAATTGAGAGCATTGCCAAGAATTCATCTTCCCCGGGTCGAATCACTGCAAAAAAACATAGCCCTATTTGTTCTAAGAGGTCCACATTCATAAGCTTCATTCTAACTGAGCTTGGTTTTTAGCCACTGAGGCCCATAAGAACTCCTTTGGACTACGTTAATCTCCATTTTAAAAGCGTTATTGCCACTAACCTGCAGAGGTGTTTTTCCTGGAGTTCTTTCTCACCAGACTGGTTCTGGCTGCCTCCTGGGTGATGATGGAAAACTGAGGCACTTGCCAACATGTCATCCCCTCGTTTTGCAACCCTCAGGCAGTTGCACAAAGTTTATGTGGAACTTTACCAACTAGTTAAAGGCAGAGTCCAGGGCAGTCTTAAAGGAATTAGGACTGCTGCAATGTCCAAGTGTTGCATATTAAGGAACTCCACCACAGGGCCAGATAAACTAGGTGGAAGGGGATGCAATTAAGAGCCTTTCATTCAACACCTTTTCACTCGGGGTTTTGAAACGCAGAGGCTTTCAAGCCACACTTGAAAACTGTTGCCTAAGCAGCCTCTCCAGAGTTTTCTGATTCCAGAAGCTAAAAGAGCCTTAAGAAATCACAGGAGAGGCCGGGAGTGGTGGCTCACACCTGTAATCCCAGCACTTTCGGAGGGCAAGACGGGTGCATTGCCGGAGTCCAGAAGTTCACGACCAATCTAGGCAACACGGTGAAACCCATCTCTACTAAAAAAATATAAAAAGTAGCCAGGCGTGGCAGTGTGTGCCTGTAGTCCCAGCTACTCCAGAGGCTGAGGCAAAAGAATTGATTGAACCTGGAAGACTGAGGTTGCAGTGAGCTGAGATCTTGCCACTGCACTCCAGCTTGGGTGACAGAGTGAGACTCAGTCTCAAAAAAAAAAAAAGAAAGAAAGAAAGAAAGAAAGAAATCACAGGAGAAGCTGCCCTGCACTCTTTCTGTGGGGGTCAGGAGTCACTGTGGATAGAAGAGTAACACTGTAGCAGAGATCTTTAAGAGGACTTAAAATTCTTCACTTACTTAGAGCTAAACCCATCTTAGAAATCTGCTTATTTTATATGTTTAGGTAACTCTTACTTGTCTGGAGCAACTTGAAAAAAAATTTAGAAAGAAAAATAAGAAATTTAGAATAAGACATGGCCTTGACCAGCTAAATTAATTGCTCGAGTAATCTTTTGCATACAGGAGACAGATCAGGAAGGACTTTCTTTCAAACCTGGCTATTTTGCCTTTAGCTAAGAGGACAGAATTCTTTTCTGAAATTTTGTTGTGGGGACCCTAATAAATAATTTTGCTTTCTTCTCTTTCCCACCTCTCTAGAAATAGAATGGAGGAGGACCTATTTTGTTTCATCCTGTGGGCTGATCCTTTACATCTAGGATTGGAAGAAATAAAGTAGATTTTTGTGGAAAGGTAGAATTTGCATTCACCAGCTAAACTGGAATCAGGAAGCATCAATCACGTGTGGCTTGGTCTCTCCACAGAAATGTAGGAATGGTAGGTTCTGAAAGAGCCTCAGTAGGGATGCATGTGATAGTTTCCAGGGCTGGGCAGGCTGGCTGTGGAGATGCAAAAACCAAAGCATGCATTCACTCCAGAGACGATGGTGGTCCACACCCATCACTAGCGCCCATGGACAAAATCAAACCAAAGTTAAGGGTCTGTTTTAGGGAAACTACAACGGCTGTTTTGAGGTAGCAGCTTCCTGTATGACCAAACTCTTTGGTGATAACAACGTTAAAAAGTAACGATAAAAAGGTATTGTTAGTTTGGTTTTATACTTTATCATAGTGGGAAGAATTCTTGACCCAGAGTTTAAAGACTCGACATTCCACTTTAACACTTTCATCTGACTTTGGACACTTGGCTTAACTTTCACATCTGTGAAAGCCTCTTTCTTTCTTTTGAAATGGTAATGCTGATATTTATTTTTCTCAGCCTATGAACTCCTTAAAAGTTATAAATTAAGATCATTTGAGTAAAAAAAAAAAAGTGCAGGAGTCAAATGGTCTCATTCTATTGGGCTATTCTATAAGAAACTATTTCTATTTCTTTCTTTAAAAGTACCTGTTGTGTCCTTAATGTAGAGGCTAAAAACAAAGATTTTTTAAAAATCAGAAAGTACCCATAATCATTCCATTTATTCTTTACCCATTTATTAGAAAAACTCAAGGGGGAATTACATCCCTTGATTTCAAGGCTAATTAGCTAATGTACATCATCAAATCCTGGGAAGCTCGGACATAGCCTTGTGTCCTCCTTAACACCTTAACACCTGGCTACATTTAAGTTTCAACCGTAACCCACACCATTTTCTATTAGTAGTAGTATACTCAGTAAAAAATAAAAGCCATCGCTTACTGTGCATCCGCTTTGTGCATTTATCGCTAATCTTCATTTAGAAAATATTTTTAGGTACTTTATACTTATTAACCCAGGTTTATCATAAACAAACAGCATTACTCAAAGAAATTGTGTTAGGTTAAAAAATTTTACAGTTAATGCTAATTCTTAAAAATAACTGTGAAGCAAAAGAGTCTGGAGACTAAAGGAGTGTTGATCCTCATTATATGCCTTTGTTTGCCTTTTTAAGATCAGTAAAGAGGACTTCTGTAATGTACTTTTTCTGTGAACTCTGCCCTTAAGTGCTGAGTCATTCTGCAAATCACTAGTTCAAATAGTGCTCTTGCCACTTTTCTTTGATAGATCTACTAAGACAAAGATCAGATAAGAGTAAATTAAAATGACAACCTTCTGCATGCAATAATTGGTATTTCCAGTACTATAAGGCATTTAGTTATTGTACCTGTCTTTATTTAATCATGGCTCTGACTTAAGCATTCGATTTAAAGACTACTGCACAGCCAGTCACCACCCTGTGTTTTGCATACTGACTCAATAGTAAAAAAGGCATCACAAAAACTGAATGAAAAAAAGAATTTCTTTGCTGGAGTTAGATACTAGTAAAAGCATTAAAATTTTAAGAAATCTATGAAGGGAAATCTAATTTAGAAAAACAGAGAGTAGTTTTTGAAGTGGCTGCTGAAGTAAATATTAACTCAATATTCTTCCTGAAGGTGACAGCATGTCAAGAAAACAGTATTTAAGATCTTTAAAAATATTTGTAAAAGTCTGCAAATACGTTTTTAAAATATTACCTGGAAATGTTTGTTAAAAACATAAATTCCCAGGTCTTGTAAACAGAGATTTTGATTCAGTAGTGTTATAATTATATATCACTTCAGCATAAATAACATTTGTTCATATACTCTAATGTCTAATAGGAATGCTTGATAGTGTCCTATTCAGGACCTGCCCTCTTCAGAGGTAGCTACATTTAATTACAAATGTATTTTAGAAATCTAGTCTTTGATAAAAGGATTTGAGAGCTAACAAAGCTGATTTCTGGAGTGAGAAGACATTTTTTTAAATCTTAAAATGATTTTAGGTAGCTAGAACCCTCAAACAGGATGTTACAACAAGGTGACTAATATAACTGACCTTCACCTTTCTTAATATTTTACACTTGAGAACTTACCTCTTTTCACATTTACATGTAGGATTTAGTTTAATCTACAGCAAACAGGTATCTATTAAGCAAGTGTTTTAATTTCAGGCCACATCAAATCATTTGAACTATTTTGTTTTATATCATCATCTATTTACCTGAAAGTTAAAATCAAACTTTTTTTTTTTTGAGGCTTAAGTTGATCATTTATATTTGCGCAGAATTTTATGAGTTATTATTTATTTAGACAGAGTTGTGCTCTTGTTGCCAAGGCTGGAGTGCAGCAGCGCAATCTCAGCTCACAGCAATCTCTGCCTCCCGGGTTCAAGCGATTCTCCTGCCTCAGCCTCCTGAGTAGCTGAGATTACAGGCACCCACCACCATGCCCAGCTAATTTTGGTATTTTTAGTAGAGACAGGTTTCACCATGTTAGCCAGGCTGGTCTCAAACTCCTAACCTCAGGTGATCACCTGCCTTGGTCTCACAGAGTGCTGGGATTACAGGCATGAGCCACTGCACCCAGCAGAATTTTATTATTCAAAAACATTAATACATGTTATTTTCTTTTTAGGTGAAAAATGTTGCTTAATCGTGTCAATTATCTGTTCTATAAGGACTCATTAATTCCCTGAACAC